GATTTTAGATGTTTTGAATAGCATTATCTTATTTACTAAAGAAAAAAATATAGATTGATCACCTGTTAAAGTTAATCTGTTGTGCATAATATAATACATTTTGTTCTACGTTTTACAAATGAGTAAAAAAAAGTTGATATTAGTTGGCAAATTAGTTGACTATGTGCTCTGGTAGAAAGCTTCCAGTTATCTGCTTAACAATTTGAAAGCTGTGTTTCCAATATGAGTGTGTTGAATATGCACCTGCAGGCATTAGTGGTGGACATTTGTCACTTAGTTGTGCTGTGGTATTAAGTGAACTTACGTCATTATGAGGATTAAAGGTGTGCTTCCAATAAAACTTTGGTATGTGTTGAATATGCACATACAGGCATTAGTGGTGGATATGTGTCACTTAGTTGTTTTGTGGTATTAAGTGAATTCATGTCATGAGGATTAAAGGGTAAAAAACAATTATGATGGACTATGACACACTCAGAGAGATTACTAGTCTCCATTTTTGGGTTGTTAAAACAGAAGTGTTGATGCTATGGAAAGGATCACTGGGTGTAACACCATGGAGTGTCTCCTGCCACCCAGCTGGAGCCAGAGTGGGTTGTTTGCTAGAAAATAATAATAGGCTTATTTTTTTTTTTTTTTAATTTTCATGACTGTGACCGGTTCTATCCTTTGCAAAAATCAGGGTGTGAACAAGAGATCAAAAGAAAAAAAAACACACTCTCTTTCCCAGCATAAACTTTCCAATATATGTTTGTCGTGTCACTTCATGGGAGCCAAAAAATTGCCATAAACTTGAAAAGTTGAAACCCAAAAGGTTGGAAAAGATCTGCTACACATGGAAGTAAAACAATGAGGATTTCTTGGTATTGGGTCAAGTTTACACTCACCACATTCAAATTGGAAATATATATAAAACCAGCTGAAGCAATGGAAGACAGACCTGCCAAAGTAGAAAGTGCCATCATTTTATCACCATTAATGAGAACAAATATGACAGCAAATATTTAAGCACAGTTTAATTTGTGAGAAAGTTCTGACACCAACATAACAATCAGTTGCTTTCTGATGTCTGTTTGAGATGCAGGACACAGTTTAATTTTTTTAAATATCACTTTTAAGAAGCTTTGAAAGTTTCGATAATATCTGACACCTACTTCCTTTCTTTGAATATATTCATCTGTTACAATGTCTGTTAAAATACATATTTTTAAAACTCTATAGTTTACTTTTTATTTTAATGACAGTGCTCTGACCTGTAACCAGTCACGCTGCCCATATAATACAATATATATTTTTTCTACTATATAGCTTTTATGTCATAAATAGAAAAAGAAAATTGCAGTCAGCTTCTTTACACTGAACTAATTCAAATATAGTGCAGGGTTTGTTAATATTGGGTAAAAATATCTTATCCATGTCATTTCAGCATATTACATGCAGTTGTGTGCTGAAATGTTTCTTGGCCACAACCAGTTACCAGGCAACAAGTTGACAGAAAGTTGCTGTTAATTTATCTTGGAGCTCCAGAGGTCAGAGGTTTGCTACATTTAGACAGAGCAGAGCCTCTGTTTGCCAATCATTTGGCTAATTTAAGATGGTCTACTACTGCAGTGTAAAACAGGTTATGTTGTGTCAAATGCAAACATTCAGCTTTAAGCATAGTTTTAGCCAGTCACACTGAGCACAAGAGGGGAAAGAAATCTTCAAATTATTTTAATGTGTGATGTGATCCTTGGTCTCTAAGGCAGTCTGTTCAGTAATGTTCTCTAAGAAACTTCTAAAAGCCCTTCACTAATAAGGCAATCTGATTTATTGGAGAGTATCATAGGAAAGGAATATGAATACAAATGCCCAACACACTTATCAGACTTTTACTTTTTCCATTTTAGAAAAAAAAGATGTACTATTTTACTTCCATCTTAACATTATGAACTACTAAAATATATATATATATATATTTTTTTTTTTTTTTGGGGGGGGGGAGCGGAGGGGGTTCCTTAAAGAGAAACTGAGAAAAAGGTTCAAGCTGTGTGAATATGTTTGCCACTGTTACTTTTAAGAATATGACCTAGAAGGAGCTGATCTTGTTTGACCTCTCACAGCTAATCAGATGAAGTGTGTGGAGTTTGGATCAAATATCTCAGAAAGCTGCAGAGGTTATGAAATCGAATCAGTTTCAGCAGCCATCTGTAGCTGGCAAAAACTAGAAAGGAATATAAACCTCATTAATGCTACCTTTACACTACAAACATGCATCCGTCTGCCACACTTCTTTTCCTCAGCTCACCGTCAAGTTATTGTTTTGGCCGATGGTGTAATAAAGGGAGGCACCGATGATATGGGCCCCAGTTGTGACATCACATCTCAGGGTAGTTGAAGCATCTGGTCCGGGGTGTGGAGCCCTGCTTCTCCTCATTCTCTTAAGACTGACTTCAGCAGTGAGTGAGTCAGGGCTCTTAATGAGGACCAGATTCCACGCATCAGACTGAGATCACCCTACGAGAATCTCTGGAGGTTGGTATGTGGGAATGTGTTAGGAGAAAAAGAGCAGGAAGGGAGGTTTAATGTGTGTTTGTATGTACTGGAAGAATCGGAACTGAGGTTAAGGTCTAAAGTGCTGTGGTATGAGTAAAAAAAAAAAAAGAAACCCTGCCAACTATTCCCAACTTTTCATTGAAGAGATAGAGAGGATAGAGCAGACTGCTCGTGCACTCAGACTGTAGCAGGAGGGGAAAGAAATCAATAGTAGTGAAAACTACATCCTTCTATTCATCCACTTCTTTTCCTATAATAAAACAAATGAATTCAAACCAACACAAGTCACAGGAAGTCTGGCCTCTCCTTTATGCTGTCAGGACATATTGAATGACACAGTCAAGGCGAACACAGGAGGCCCAATGAACTCATGCCCTCCTGTTATGGGAAATACCCTGCAGCCATTCACGAGATCTGATCACTTCCTTCTCCAGTGCTGCATTTAAACCAGGCAAAGCAGAATGCATTACATGGAGGATTATCTTGAGGAAAGATTTGCGCTTACACAGACGTTAATCACACTTAATAAATCTAAATGCTGGGTGTAAAAAGAGGAAGCTGAAAAAGACTGCTATTCTAGATAAAACTGTTCACTTTATTTGATTCATTTCTGGCTTGACTGCACTAATGGGGGTGTTTACTGTGCACTTCACCATTAATGTTTGTTCAAGAGACAAAAATGGGTCATAATCTCAAGCCAATTACTGTCATCATATCATATCAACTGGCTAATGAGGCAAACAAACCACGTGTAATATTTTTTCTTGCCAGTAGTAGATGAATACACAGGTTTTGTATTGTCTTACTAAAATTGTAACTATTTTAGTAAAACCATTTTACATCTGTCATTTAGTTCCTAAACGATTACCGTATATAGTTAAAGTTGTGGTATGCATTTTGCATAAAATGTCCCTATTTATATCCAGGAGGCATCTTGTTGGATATGCATAGCTCGTATCTATGGTGACAAGAAGTTAAATGGTCTTTCTCTCTGTTAGTACTATACGAATAATGTAAATCTGTCTTCATAATTAACAGCATGCTTTTTAAAAAAACTTATCTGAAAAAACCTTTTATTTATTTAAGAGTTCAAAGTTTGAATTTATTGTGAAATTTCTCAAATCTACAAAGGGTCCAAATTATATACACTCAAATATTTACGCATATCTCCACTAATACTTGAATAAATGTTGCTTGGGAAGTTGCAAAGAAACCACATGGCCTAGTTTCGGCTACATATTTGCCCACTGTCCTTATCAGAACTGGTAGAGCTTATTTAAAGTGGTTGGTATGTTTGAAGGGACAAACCATTAAAGCAGAGGTTTTCAACCCTGGTCCTCAAGGCACACTGACCTGTGTGTTTTAGATGTTTTCCTACCTCAACACACCCCATTCAGATGACTACAACTCAGCAAAAGCCTATTAATCAGCCATCAATTGAAATCACATGTGTTGAAGCCGAAAAATGCCTAAAACATGCAGGGCAGTGTGCCTTGAGAACCAAGATTTTTTTTAAAATCACTGCTTTAAAGCATAGTTCATAAATGTCCAACAGGGTTAAGGTCAGAGACACTATTAGATAAAGATTAGATAAAGAGTACTATTAGTCAGCTTCATTCATTCCAAATCTGGTTTTGATGGTGTGTTTGGAATCAATGTCCTTGAATCCCTCCAACCCAAGACCTCAGATAAGCAAATATTTATTGGGATGTTCACGGACAACTATCATGAACTACCAAGGCTCAGTACTGCAGTAATGTTGCTGGTGATCCAAGAAAGACTCTCAATTATAAGGCATCAAATTAAGAAGTCCGATTTGTTTTAAGTCATGTTTGACATACACAGCACTTTTTTACCAACTGAAGGAAATATAGTTGTTTGATTGTGCTATAAAATGGCTCATAGTATGATAAGCATGGACCACAGTTACCCACCAATACCGGGAGTCCACTGTATTTAGTTAAAGTATTCACTGTCTTAGGTCTATGGTTGGCCCTAGCTGTAACACCAAAATCACCCACTCATTGTTCATACTGCTTGTCCTTGTAGGATTGCAAAGATCACTATCTGAAGTGACTGAATATAGTGACCTTGAGAGGTCACCATCAAAGTACAATACACAGACACACACCACAAATATCCGTACATGCACACACACCTGCACAGTGACCTAACCTGACAGTCATCTGTTTTGTATGTTGAACATGCAAACTTCATACAAAAAGACCTGAGGCAACACTATTACCAATACAGCTGTTCCACTGTGAAGTTGGTAAATGTATGTAGCGATACATTTACATTTAACAGTATTTCAAAAATATATACCAATCAATCAACCAACTATACATAAAAACAATAAATCATACCACCTTACTAAACTTTCACAAAGATAATTTTGATTGGCACTAAAATTGATATATTGAACTTTTTTTTTGTCAGAATTCCTTTAATGAAAATCCTAAATAATACCAGAGATGCTATTAAAAAAACGTCTTACCTGGTTCTTTAGCAGCAACATCCTTCAAAACATGCTTAGTTATCATGGACATCTGTGCCTGGAGCTTCCGCAAGGAATTCGACAGCGAGGTGATTTCTGCTCCGTGATTTCCACAAGTTGCGTTCATCCTTTGGACACAGTTCTGCAGGCCCCCAACATGTTGCTCCAGTCCATTTTTCAATTCTCTGATATTAACAGAAACTCCATCCAACCTCCCACAAATATTTTCGAGCCGGCTTACACGTCCACCTATAGCTGAGATCCCATCAGTATTTTGCCTACAATTGTTCAGTTCAGAAGATACCTGTGTGTTAAGTGTATCAAGTCTGTTCTTCAGCTCTTGTATCTGACGGCTGGTAACATCAACAGAAGCTAAGTTGGGCTGTAATGGCATTCCGTGGCCAGTCACTTCTGCATTACAGCACGTTGAGCTTATACGTTGGATATCCTGGTTGGATTTACTCATGGAGTCAGTTAGACCGGTAACTGCACCAGCCAAAGCAAGAACATTATCCTGGAGATTTATCAGTCCCTTTTGGAAATCCTCTGTGGTCTTTACTTGTCTCTCATTTCCAATTGGCTGACTTTTAAAGAGGTTCTCCAGTTGCTTGAGCTTCTCTGTGTTGGAACTAACATCTGCGTGAAGAACATCCAAGTCATTCCTGTAACGATTCAGGTCCGTCACAATGTTTTCTACACGGCCGGGCATGGGTGCAATTCTACCTTGATCAGTTGTAATTTTAGAGCCCGAACATCCAGCAGAGCACAAGTCTTCAACAGCCTTGACTTTCTGATTCAACCCCTTCAGAAGGAGTTTGTTATTGTTGACCTCTGTCTCGAGGGCACCTGTTGAGTCGCCAGACACTCTTGGAAAGGAGTTGTTGCTCATTTCCACCAGGATGTTTGTGAACTGGTCCTCAGCCGTCATCAGGCGCTGATCCAGCAGTTGCCGGAGTGCTTCCACTTCATCTGCAATTATCCGTGTTAGCTTATCTTCAATGTAGAAACAATGAGTTTCTGCATTTTGTTCAGTAATATTCACACGAGCCTCCAGCTCTTGAATTAGTACACCTAAATCACCAATTTCCTGAAGGGAAGATAAGTGGCCTAGTTCGTTGTCAAAACGGACGTTAAGGATTCGATGAGCCTCTGCTATGCGATCAATTTCGCGCCATATGTCTTTATGGTCATTGTTGTCCTTCTGTTCAGATGGTCCTGTCTGTCTTGAAGTCTGCACAGGTCCATCCGAGGCAGCCATGTTCAAACGTATTGTTCGGATCTCTTTTCTCAGGTCAGCCTCTTTGCTCTCCAGAAGCTTGCTCAACTTGACACCAACTTGGTCGTGGCTGTCTTCACAAGTCTTTTGCACCGCCGAGATCTTGTCATCACAAAGGTTCTGTAACTTGACCATTTGTTCCTCCACATTCTCATCTAGCTCCTTCATCAGTTTTTCAATTTTTCCATCAACATAGGTTTGTATGCCTTCAAAATCAACTATGGCTGTAGTCTGAGACTGAGAGGCATCCATTAAGACACGTATCTGTCCCTCGTGACTTAATGTGATTCCCCTTAGATCTTCCAAAGCTTCATCCTTGTTTCGTAGAGCATTGTCAATATCATCTAAGCGAGCTTCAATTTTCTCAAGGGTTTTCTCTCCACCAATCCCTCCCCTGGTCGCCTGATGCCCATCTATCACCACTGGAGTTTCCTCTGCATTGCTGCTAGTTTCCGGAGGACGCATGTTGTTCAGGAGTGTCTCCAGCATCTTTTTTGTGTCATCCTGAAGGTCTGTGCGGAGGTTGGCGGCTAATCCTGTTAGAGTGGATTGAAGATCCAAGACCGTCTGGGACAGACGCTGAACTTCACGTTCGAGAAAACGCACCTTATCCGTGACGCCATGTTGAGTCTCATAATGTGGAGTCTCCCTCCTCTCAGCCCCTATAATCATGTTATAATGTTATAAAAATATAATCAATCAAAAAGTGCATCATTGCCTATGTTCTCTATAAAAATATCAATAAATAAACATATTTCTTGAGGTTTTTTTTTTTCAAGGTGGAACAGAAAATACATTTCTTACTCTGTGTGTGTCTGGGTGAGTATCCAGGATTTGGGTGGAGGTAAGACGATGCTCCCTGCACCGTTTGCCGATCTGTGGGTGGCTTTAAATCCTTACAGTTTGGACCTCGGTACTCAGGACAGCATTTCCACTCTAACTGAGTAACTGTTCTGAAGGCAATCTTGTACGTGGGTCTAAACCGTGTTTGGTATCTGCAATGCAAAGGAAAATCATAAACATGTTTAGCATTTTGAGATGTCAACATCAAAATGAGACTATCTGCATTTTCTTTAGAAAAAACCTTCACTCCATTTTACATGCGTGGCTACACGCAACTGAGTTATAGGAGCCCTCGATGTCCAACTTCTCCGTTCAGAATCCTGAATTCAGGGGGAATCCTTGATATATTTCCAAATGAAAACTTAGACTTATGAGTACAAGCAGAACTCCTTCCCATGTTAAGGATGTTTTGCAATTCAAATGATAAAATCTGTTGCTATTATTGATTTTCCTGGAAACATTATCCCCTATGCGATCTTCCATTTTGCATTTGTTGAAAAACTACCTTTTCCAGGCCAAATAAATGTTCCCAAGTAAAATACTGGATGATATCACTTCTCTGCAGGCCGGGGTCATGTCACGCAAGAACATCTGGAAAAATTATGTTTGGAAAAATTCTTCATCTCCTCCCAGCACTTACTTATAAGAATGGTCTAGGTAGCAGAAAAAAATGAAAACCTGTGCGGCAACATCAATTCATAGTTTGCCCCTGGTCATCAATGTGAGGTCAAATCTCATTTTAGCTGAAGATAAATTGAAGCTCTCTTGCTGCTTTGTGCAGACACTTGTGGCCCAGTGACTTAACAGTGATCAGCTTCCAGGAAGCATTTCCACATCACAGGGCCTCGCTGCATCTCTTTGTGTAAATGGATCACAAAGCCAAACCACAGACTGCATGTGCTTTGAACTGAAAAATGATTCACAAAACATAATATCATGAAGTTGTGACACAACATCTTCCAGAAAATCATCCCAATGACTGCTTGTGTTTACTGGTAGAGATTTTTTTTTTTTTTATTGCCAGTACCATGAGTAGTGGTATTTATTGATTTGTACATAAAAGTCTTGCCTTGAATCACAGTTTTGTCGATTTAAATGAATTATTGTTCTGAAATTATGTATTTATTGGGAATTAGGATTTTCATTTCAAACCACAGGAATAAACTGGGTGCCCTGTTGCAAATGAAAATGAAAGCGGTCCATCTATAGTACACAAAATAGATTATTAAAGATATTGAGTCTAACTGAATATAGCAGACTAATCCTCTTTTCCTCACAACAGCCACAATCAAATACTGAATTATATTGTCATGGAAAATCTTGAATTGATAAATCAGCAAACGTGAAACAGCTGCTGACAAATATTAGACTTAAAAAAAACAGATATGCAAAAATATAAACCCACTGAGTTTCATGATGCATAAATCCAAGGAATATAAGAAGATACTGGACAAAGCTTTAAACATGACTTCAAATGTTGGTTTTATGCTGTTGGGATAGTAGCTGGGCAGTTTTAACTAAACACTGGGTCAATATGTGTGACCCAGTTGATTTGAGTAGAGAAGAGATTGGAAGGAGCCTTTTTATTCCTCAAAATTTGCCAGTTTGAACTTCACAATGTCACTGTGGTAATCATCAGGTCAGACCTCACTTTACCTCATCCACAGGATGAAATAGGATGTGGTAACAGGGTAAAGTTAAGTTCTGTGCTATTGCTAAACCAAAGGCCTTAGTCCACATTAAAGAACTAAATTCTTAATACTGTTTTCCTTTCTTTTTCATGGTCTTTCTTTTTCAAACATTTTACACTAGCCTTTAAAGGTATGGGATTATTTAGCTTTCCAGGAACATGGTGCCATTTTATAGCACAATTAAGCAACTATGTTACCTTAGTTTGTTAGAAAAATGTCATATCAAATTAGACTTAAACGAAATTTGACTTTGTAATATGACGCCTTGAAATTGGGCCTCTGTCTCTTTAAGAAGCTCCTACTCTTTCAGACATTCCTTCAGCACATTATCATAACAATGCTTTTCATTGTGCCATTTTTAACTATCTTCAGGAATGTTTCTGGACTGAAAAGTAGTTTGTTTGATAAGCTCAACAGATGTGCAGTTCCACCAGTCAACTTATGCCAGTCAATGAGTAAATGGCATAGTTTAGTTTGAATCTAACCTTAACTTGCGACTTTGTCACTTATCTGTATCTACAAAAGCTAGCTACATCCCCCACATGTCTTCTTGCATTCTTGGTTGGGCTTTTTTTTTTTGGGGGGGGGGAGATGCCATGCATGCTTGGTCTTATCAACTTGCTTTGTTGTTTTTCACTTTGTTTTTAGTCAGCAAGCGTGAATATTTCTACCTCTAGCTGATTCTCAACGAAGCATTTTGCTTCCAATGTTCCTTTTTGTATCTAAAAAAAAATTCACATTCACTCTCAACCCCCACTTCTCTGCTCCCTGGATGCTCACGTCACTTGTTGCTGGCAATCGGGCTGGTAGGCCGGGCAGGGGGCCACCACAGGCTCCTGGAAGCTCGCCCCATTCCCCTGCACCACGCAGCTCACGTTCCTCTGCACCACATAGGCGCACCAGTTCCTGTGGATGGAGGTGTATAGAAGTTAGAGATACTGCTTCAAGAAAGCAACATAATTAGTACCACATGTTTAAGGTATTTCTCCTGAAAGGTCCCTCCCCTTTCAGCTATTTATCATGAACGTGTTCTATATTCTACCTAATATATCACGAAACGTTTGCTCTCTTGCTGATGAGATACAGGAGTAATCTGCGGCGTTCCAGCGTTTATCTAGCTCTTATCGCCTATTTTGAAACAGTGGAGCCACATTTAGGAGCAGCCTGATAAAACTGCAGTAGTGAAAGGCAACAGTTTGACCGTAAGAGGCAGAAAATCTTCACAGACCTGGTGTCAGTCAGAAGTTTGAAACTTATCGCATTTTTATTGGCTTGGAGCTACGCAGAAAATGAACACCTTTTTTTTTTTCTCTTTAAACCTCCATTATATGACATGTCTGAAATATACAAGGTAGCTCAACACATTCGTCTTAAAAGCGTAGAAAAACACGCCACTCACCTATTTCTGTGTCTGTGGACCTCTCCGGTGTGCGCAGACCCGTGGAATAAGTCATAATAAGACGGGGACCCGTAGGTGAAGTGAAAGTTTAGGATCAGGGTAAAAACAGTCCACCGCCAGTCCATTTCTCGGTGCCAATTTTTCTTATTTAACAAACCTGCTAACATATGCATTTTTATTTTTATTTTTACTTAAAAATAAAGTAGGCGATACCCTGTCATCATTGTCGGCTGCGTGGCCAAAACCTAAAGTTGCATTGCAGCTGAACTCCAAAAAGTGAACTTTGGGGAAGTCCGCAGTCACTGCAACTCCGTGGGAGTGACGTTCAGGGACTACACCCTCCTCCCAAGAAACTCACCCAGATTTCTCTGACACTTTTAATACTTTGCTCGGCTTTAATTACGTTATTCTTTTAAGTCGTCTTAAAGCGTGGGCTGATTGTTTTAGGGGACACCTTGATCGCTGCCACCTCGGAGACAGTTATCAGCCAATAACTCACACCTCACTGATGAATAACATGGTAATGTGCTTAGGAGTTGAAAGAGGTGCGTGTTCTGCTGGTGCTAATGATATTCATAGCCAGGGATAACAGTAGTAATTTACATTCCGTTTGCCCCCTTCCTAGTACGTTTTGTGATATGCGTGTTGCAGCTCATTGGTGCCAATTAAATTTTTAAAACAAATTTTAGCCAATTTGCAGATTTCTTAACGTGCACTGAGTGGGAAAGTGGATATACAAGGGCTGCAGCTCACAGCACTCAGGGCACCGATACACTGCCAGTGTTTTATCACTGTTCCAAAGTGTGAGCTTCCACAGACACTGTGACGCCGTGAAACTGTATTCGTGAAAAGGGTACAGTGCTTAAAATTAATTTACAATATATTTCATTGCCATTTTACACAAAGGACCTACAGGGTAATGCATAATTATTATGATTGAAATTGTATTTGTCCATCTTTGATTCATCCAATAGCCAATCTTTTTCACATGACTTGTAAATATTGTATTAGAGAACAAGACTCCAAACTTTGACCATCTAAAAAACAAATTAGAGAGACAGGAGTGCAAACCTACCAAGACATGAACATTCACCTAAAATGGCCGGTAGGCTAAGGGATGTTTATTCAGAGAAGCAGCCAAGGCACCCATTGCAATTCTGGAGGGGCTCTTGGTTTCACTGCTCAGCTGAAGGCAATCTATCAAAAGGACAACTATTAGTTGAGTAATCTAGAAGAGTAGCAAGAAGAACGCTAATGCTGAAAAAAAATGACAAAAGAAGTCCTGCTTGAAGCCAACCACAAGCCATGTAGGGAGTACAGCAAATATGCCGCAAAATGTGCTGTGGTGTTTTTTGTGGCAGACCTGCACATGACCCCAAGCACATAATTTTCCATGGTGCTGGCAGCATGATGCTTGTGTGGATGATTTACTTTAGTAGAGCCAGGAAATGCAATGCAGTATTTTGTGACAATTCTTACAAACAAAACCAGTTAGTTACCACCAGAGCTAACGGTTCAAAGATGCCCAACATTAGGTTTCCAGAGCTGCAACTTTTAGATGAATCCCTGCTTTGTTGGAGAAGGGATACGTCTGAAAGTTGCAGCAGAGTTGCTCCCAATAACTGGACGTGGGCACCCCTGATTTTGATCAAAGCCTGTTAGAGTGGCGTAGCCAAAATCTGGGATTAAATTCAGTTTAGAAAACTTAACTTTATGGGGAAAAACAGCATAGTTTAAATGTGCAAAGCTGGTAGAGACACACTCCCAAATGACTTGCAAATGTAATTATAGCCACCAAAGACAAAGTACTGATTCAATGGTCTGAATACAAATGTGCACTGCAGTTTTTATCATTTTCCTTCCCTTCACAGGTAAACATTACTCTGTGCCACCCTGTCACATAAAATCCCAATTAAATACATGGGCATTTGAAGAAACATGACAAAATGTGACAAAATGTTCAAAGGGCATGAATATTTTGGCAAGCACTGTACAAGCAGGTGGGAATTAAAAGAGAATAACTGACAGTATTTAGGGGATGTGAGGTGTGGAAACACTGAGAGGGACTGTAAATAAAGTCAGAGTGTTTGCTGGGATTCAGAAAGGATGCTGGGCAGCAGAAGAAATAGATGCAGCTCATTCCCACCCCAGGCAACCTTTTACCACCGAACATGTTCTTTTGACTGAACTGTTGTCAGAGCAGAGACAGCTATTCCCAGAATAACGCCGCACTGTTTCATCACCAACCAGCACCAGGTCTGCCAAGTAATGGATGCTGGAATGCACTATGAAGACGAACAGCGTCTGCTTAGAGTCCAGCTTTGGTGTATTAACAGAATGAGCAACAGAGGAATTAATCTTTAATATTTCCAACTTAACTGCATGCACAGTTTTATTATGCTACTCAAAGGCTTATTTCATTTGTAAAAGCGTATTCATGCTTATTTTACGAGTCAACTGGTGAATTTAGTCACCAGAAGAGGGCAGCATAACAGCAGTAAAGAGGCCACTTTTACTCTGAGCTTTTTCTTACTAAAAGTGCTTTGCTGAGAACAGAACATTTCATTACTGAGGCACTATGACGGCTATATTTCCAGTTTCAATACCTTATTATGCTAATGCCAGTTATCTCCAGTACGAGCTCTGGATTCATATCTCTGCATCCCCATGAAGATCACATTGGGATCACAGTGGAAAAAAAGACAGAGCCATGTTCTGTTTTTTTTTTTCTGTTATTCATTAGCATTCACAACCTGTTGTTACAAGAGATAACTTTGTTTTCACTGACTAAATCATTGATAGATTTACCAAATCTCCTATCTTGACATTATCAGGCTGTGTAACACCTGTCTTCTATTCGAGTTAAAAATAGTCATTAACTTCACGTTTGCCCTGACATTCATGGGGAGCAGGAAGCCAGATGAGTGACAACTGAAGGAAAATACCAAGCCAAGTCTTTCATTAAGAGGAAAAAGGATCTCAGCATGGTTTCACTCATAAATCCTAGGGATATTTCTACCTTCCGCCTCTCTTGGATCGATGTCTTATTTTTCGACTTTGCAGAAGTCAGGAGGACTGATTGGAATTGGAGAGGTCTGAATTGAAGCTGTGGAGAATCCCTTGCAGCATCTAAGGCATTTGTCACTGAGTCATGCATTTTACACACGCCCCATCTCATTTTGATTCCTTTAAATTCATCATAGTTGTGACCTTGATCTTTTTACCTTAAACGGGCTGGCTTGCCTGGAGGATGTGGGGGATTGCGGATGTTGAGACAACACAAAGCAGACTTTCCTTTCTGAAGGATCACATTTGTGCTCTGTGTCAGATCCTTGACACCACACTTGTGCAGGTAAACGTTCCTTTCACCCATGCTAAATTTCAAGCAGATGTAGCTGGAACATACAGATACCCCTTTGGACTTTGTGGGAACTGAGGCCTCTCAACACTAAATATCCATTTATTTCTCGATGCTTACCTGACACCTATGGTGAGAGTGAACACTGTTGAAGGGATCTTTTTGATTTGGCAGGCAGTCACCACAGGTTGTCATGTGCACCATGCCCTGTTTGTACTTCACTTTCACTGGGTGACTCAGTGGGAGGACATAGGCCTGTGCACGCAGGCCACATGGGGACTTTTCAACCTTCGGTCAAGGGGCTGCCTAAGGATACTGAAGTCATAAACTCAGTTTTCTGTCCTTTAACTCTGAGCGTTGCGACTGAGATGTTTTGCTCACGCATTCTACTTTATATACTCACTGTAAAGCTCTTTGGATCTGACTAGAATTTTAATTATTTGTTATAAAACCTCATAGGAGCGGATGCCTGAATCTATACCATACTTCCTACAGACACACAAAAAACATTTTATAGGACAATGAAGTAGCTGAGAACTCATCTGCCACTGCTGGCTGATTCACTCACTCTCAGAAGATTTCTTAAGATGTGCTTCGTGTAAGGGAGTCTGAATTTGTTTCACCTCAAGAAATCCTTTCTACCGTCCTGCCTTCAAGTGCTATTGCAGATTCATCCCCCATGTCTTGTTGTACCACTCATATTATCTGCTTTTTAACTTACCGAAGAAAAGATTAGAAGCACTTTTTTATCTTCTTCCTCCTTTGTAACAAATGTTGGCCATTTGCCCATTTGCAAAGCCTTGCAGTGTTAAATGCTGAACCCATGTGGTGAGCGGATATGAAACAGTACCGTATTCTCCTATATTTCACATTTACCATGATTTGAATCTGAAAAAGTACAAAAATACTCTTTTTGTACTTAAATATTTAGCTACAAAAATAAAATTTGTATTTTTTGTTGCTAAAAAAACATACAGAATTTTGTAATTACAGCATTGTGTAATTGACTCACAATGGTGTAAGTATAAGGCTACAACATGATTGTTAGCAAGTACAAAATGGAAGTAGCAAAGGATGGACTGGTTAAGAGTAGTTTAGAAATGGGGACATGAACTGTAAAAGGCATACGTTGATACAGAATCACTTATTGTCGTAGTTGTGATTGTTGTTGGCTCCACCTTTCGTCATGTTTTTCTTATAACTGTTGAAGTCTGTCCACTTTTACCAGAATTAGTCTGTGATTGCATAAAGTCATTTACTCAACATGAAGAATAGCTCACAATGTCCCTTTCGTCAAGCAAATTTCACCTGACACTGCCAGACAAAAAGATCCACCATATGGTTTGCATAATATTTGGGAAGGACCCAAACAATCACGAGTACTGTCACTATTTTATTGCTCACTAGTGCAAATTAAAAAAAACAAAAAAACAATCATTCAGCAATAATCTGTGACCCTTGTCACGATTAGTCCCTTTACATTATTTATTGAAAGAACGGTGAATAACTTTACCCGAGCTGTTTTAAAGGTTTGGTTTTTCCAAGTTTATCTGATAAAGAAAAATAATCAACATGGCTTCCTCCAATGACACGATCAGAACACAAGATTAAGGGAAAGTTCAAACAAATGTCATGGTCAGATGCAGACACGGAGACGAGCTCGGAGACAAAGGGCGAGATATTGTTGGCTGTTTGTGGATGTACACAAATAATGCACACCCACCCACTCAAACTCACACTTACACACAAAGCCTCCCACATCCATGCAGATACAAGTCTGAGCACGGAGATACACACAGCAGATTAGAGGAGGTGATTTATTGGCTGTAAAATGTTAATATAGCTATAAGCCGGCCTCATGAATTGTTAATTATGGCCTTGACATCCTCGTCACCTAAAATGTTAATGAGGTGAGATTGCGTCAGGGGCTGCGAGGTCTCTGGGAG